CCCCAAGGATTTTTATGGGTAATATGGCGAACTGACTTCAGGGAAATGCCGTAAACTTCATGGCAAAAATACAGAGAATGGAACAGGAGCTGGAAAGGTGAGAAGGGATTTTGCCTTTTGATGACAAGCAACTTCTTCAAAAGGAAAAGGAAGGAAGAAAGGGAGGAATGGAAAGAAATAAGGAAGGAAGGAAAACTAAGAAGTCAGAATCAAATACTTTTTCTAGGGATCCCTGATTAAGGAACTAATGCTTAGTGACACTGGCAGCTACCCTTCGTTCACAAAGGGCCAGGCACAGGTGGCCATTAAAATGATCACCTCACATCTTATATTTTGGGAATATAACATGGTTTGCAAGCTTTTGGTACCATTGATTAAAAGTAAGAAGTGTGAACATACGGGATCTCTTTTTTATTTGGGTCTCCTCACTTGTTAAGAACACCTGCTTCTGAGAACAAAGCACATTTTTGAGAGTATGGATGAGAGAAGTTGTAAAATTCCTCAATTTGGTGCCTTCTAAGTGTGCCTCATGGGCAGACAGCTGGAATGCATGGTACCAGGCCCATCCCTCTAAGTTCTGGTTCTGTAGGTCTGCACAGGGCCCAGGAAATCACAGATGCCCCATGAGTGGCAAACATTTATCTGCATCAGAATAACAATTGTTATTGTGTGCTAAGTTAATTAAGAAGATTTAATTGAGCTAACTCTCAGGACTGTGGTTAATGCAGATCTATCTATCTGTTGGTGTCTCGGTCAAGTTCTTTTACTCTTACACTTAAAAAAAAATCACTCTTTCAAGGATGCATGTCCCTGGGGATAGTAGAGGATTCAAAGGGGATCACAGAATTTTCATAAAATGTTTCTGTGAAGGTTTTTAAAAGATTCTGTGTTATAAGGGCCAAGGTAACTCTGTGACTGTCTCTAAAGCTGGAATCAGACAGCAGTGTGGTCTTGTGAACCAAACCCGCCCAGGGACCAACTGACAAGCCAGCCTTCTCTGTGTTTAAGTAACGGAGGCTAATGTCTGGGGAGCCAGGTCCCTTTCATTGAACAGGTAGGTAGAAACAGCAGGTGTGTGAGGCAGATCTGGGGGGAAAAGGTGGTGGTAGAGGACAGGGCAAGCTAAGCTGAAAATGCAGAGAGAGGACCAAATCCAACAACAGCTAGAGAAGGCGAAGGCATGGGCCAGGGTGAGAATGGACCAAATCTGCAGACACAGATCACAGTGGCTGTTTTGCGTTTTCTCCATGTGTAAGAAATGGCTGACTCACCTATGTGCATGTGGGCTGAATGAGAGCTCCTAATACGTGCCTAAACCTGAAGGGCAAAGTGGGAATGGGAATATAAATAAAGAATAAAACAGGAAAGGAATCTATAACCTGCTAAGATACCATGTGTTTCTTTCCATGTAGGTACCTATTTATCGCTCTAAATTCTAAGAGAGAATTATTCATTTTTCTCTTTCTTAGTGCCCCAGTGAGGACACAATTCGCCAGACACAGCACATAGCTCTGGTGAGCACTGGTATCATTTCTAGCTGAGCAGTTCTCTTTCCTCTTACCGGGAGCTATTTTCTTAGCACTTTTCCCTCTTCCTCCTATCTGAGCTTGCTAGCTCAGATCATATAACACTTGTCAGCATAATTTGGCAATAATTGACCCATATACTTCTTTTCTTTTTGAGGACCAACCAGATATTCTTACAATCTGGGAAGGATCAACTGCAGTAAGTCTCCATTTATAAACAGAGCAGATTAACCATTCTCGTATTACAAACACAGAATCAGAAATCAAGCACTGAGAAAACATATGTACAATATCACAGCTTGTATAATGCTTTTAAACTCTTTCCGAGACAATACCTTTATTCTCAAATGATTTTCATATTTATCCAAATTGGAAATGACACTTAACATTTACCCTGTCTTTTTAGAGTCAAAGCACTTAACAGATTTTAGCAGAGCTGGTTACATTGCTTACAGCTCTATACTATGGCTCATCATGATTAGGCGCAGCTGTAAAAAGAATAAAAAGCATATTTCTTGGGTTTTGTTATCTGGCTCTTAGAATCATAAGCATGTCATAATAACAGTGGCGATAATAGCTGACTTTATTTTCCATTATGTGCCAGGCACTTCACTAAGTATATTACATTGCTTTATCTTTTCTTCCCAGTAACCTTTTGAGGTAGATAGTAGGATTATTCCCATTTTTTAGAGAAAGTGACCGAGGTTCAGATGGTGAGTAACTTGTCAGGTGCCCACATCTAGGAACTGAAAGACCCAGAATTCAAATTTAGGCTCTTGGACTCCAGCATCCACCTTCTTCCCCACCACTCTCTATGGCACCACTCTCACAACGCGGCAATGGTATTTGGAAAGAATTTGTCCTCCAAGCCATGCTCACATGCTCTGACCCAGTCCTCAGAAGGGCATGTATAAGTAGTGGTGGGATAGAAAACCAGACTTTTCTAATCTTTTCTACTTTTGATAACTTTCCTCCATTTCCACTGGCACAGAAACTACTTTTCTGAGATTGAATGATATTCACACACTTGCTTGAATGAAGCGAGCAGTAGCTCTTCAATGTACCCTTTCAGTGTCTGTTTAGGGGCAGAAGATTTAGAGGAGGTGGGAACCTTTTGTTCAGCTGCGTGTGTAGCAGCTGAACAAGGTCAATGGCCACTCAGTTCAGAAGCCGCTGGTGCAGAGCTACAGACGTGAGAGCTCCCTGAGCCAGGAAGCCTTGGTTGACCAAGAACAGGAGCTGGGCAAGTGACTTAATGAATGCAAGGACGTGGAACAGCCTGTGTTGGGAGTTAGATATGTTGAGGGTTAGCCTTTTCAGTTTTAAGGTTACTCATCACGATGATAAGTATAATGTGCTGTAAGTACAGTATCTTTTTCACCAGGGGACTTTGGATATATTGATTATGTTCCCGCTACTTCAGATTTCATCACCTACCTAGTGGGGAAAATTGTTTCTATTCTACCCTTCCTCCACCCATTCCTCTTGTAAGTTAAATAAATCTATAAAATGACTAGAGTAACTTGAAACACACCTTTATCGGTAACTTTACTTGTTTGCTTTCCTTACCTCAGTGGCTGGGTCTTAGGGAGAGGGCAGGGATGCCCTGAAATCTACACCCTCCTGGAAACTGTCCACAAGGATGACTTTTATAATATCTCTAAGTGAACTGACTTCCCTTTCCAAATGATTCCTGGAATTTATTCTCATTTTCCTTTCTTAGAGTTTGATTCTGTTATAATATTTCAATTCCTTTTTCAGAAGGGTATTCTATTGTTACCGCCTTTGCTTGGTTTTAGATCTCATCTTGTTCATATTCTCTTTTGCTTCTCTTTCCATTTGAGCTTAACTTTTGTAGTATTTTGTTTTTTGGTTCCTTAAGAGGATTATTTCCTACCTTTATTTGTTTAACTTGTTGAAATTGTCAGTTACGTCCTGGGTATCCAGGGTAGAGCACTATAAACTTAGGATTTCTAGATTGGTCCATGAAAATTAAGTATCCAGCAATGTTTAATGTCCTAAAGTACATGAGAAAAATCTCTTCCTGTAAGATTTAAAGACAAAGCAAACTAACAATGGATGCAATTGTTATCCTAAATTAACCACAGTTGGTGCTGGATAAATATTTGCTACATTGACAGCTAGCTTAGGCTAAATATCACAGTATCGTTTTAAAGCACTTTTTAACTTTAGGAAATGCATAGGTCAGTGTGAACAGAAGTGGATAAGTTAAACATTCTAGAATAAAAAAAGAGATAAGATGCTAGGCTAGTGGCTTTATTGTTATTATTACTAAAGGCAGAAAAGTGGGTGAACTATGCAATAGGACAGAGAAACAATATACGTGAGGTCTTAGAAGTAGTGATGAAGTAGAACATGGAAAAGAACATGCTGGCCATTGTACCTGACAAACTCATGCCTTTTATAACGGGAAGAAATTAAACTGAGAACAATTATCAAAATCTGAATAGAAGAATAGGAGAGGTCTCATCATAGATTCCTTTGGGGGTGATTTTCTTTGTAATATTCAAAATCCTATGCTTTATAATTAGGAATAATGATCCTTGTTCTATTTCATTCTGTGGTGGAGGAAGGGCTCAAGGTCCCAGGGAATGGCCAGCGGAGAGCGTGGGTTTGGCCAAGGTCTCAAGGCTGCAGCCTTTAGCAGCACCGGGCCCTCCAGTGGTGGGGAGGTGCTGGCTCCCATGACATCTGATAAGGCAGAAAGGTAATTAACCAATAAGAGACAAGGTGTTACTGGAAAGTGGAGTTCGGGCACCTGATTACTAATTAATCAGGCGTGAGAGCACCTTGTAGATGCATTCACTATTTAATTATAGCAGCCTCTCTTGGCAAAGGAGCATATGTTCCCAGCTTAATCTACTGGTTTATACTGACATCAAATTGTCATTATCAGAAAGAATCAGGCCTTTTGATTATTTCCACTAATTTATTGAACACTTAAAATTAATGAACCTCAGGCCTTTTAAATGTACTCAGTTGGTTTGGAAGATGGGAGGGAAAAGGGGGGTGGGGTGGAGAAAAGCCTTCATTAAAAGGACAATTTGTTTGGATAAAGGTAAAGCAAATACATTTCATGGGTGATCTGAACTCTATTGCTGAAAATCATGAACTCTACAAGCTGAGCTTTCAAAATGACAGAGAGGAAATAGGGTATGAGGTGTGCCCTGCTGCCCAACATTGGCTTCCAAAGGACATATGGCTAAAGGTTTTTATAGCCTATTTATGTGTCAAATCTCTAGGAGACCTCACTGCAGTTAAGTTTAATGAAATAAAAGCAAAGAAAATCAAATGTTGGAAATCAATTGTTAGACTAACTAATAAGGATTTTTTTTTTTGAAAATTTCGTTATGTTGGGGAGAATATAGCACAAAGCTTCCTTTCTCACATGTGAATATCCTTCGTATTAAGACACTCTTTGCATCATATCCAAGTTGTGGCTTTTCTCTTCAGTTTCAGGTGAAGGTCAAGTCCAAGTGATTGTCCAGGTGAAGGAAGGTGTGCCCCCAACTATTTTAGGTGAGTATTAACCCACAAAGTAGAAGTGCCTGTCACATCACAATGTCCTCCAATAATAGTTCCACAAATTCTTCCTATCATATTGTTTGTAAAGAGGCAAGTATCAGTCCTAATGGTTTAATGCCTAACTGCTCTCTATTGTGTCAGCCCTATAGCTAAGATGTGTCTGTATGTTAAAGAAAGATATACGAAGGAACATTTTAAAACATTGGAAAGTAAGAATGAAAAGATGTAAATAAGCACATTTTATAAATTATGGACCAGATGTGCACACAGGAGTCCAGATCTGCAGATGGGCCATTAGGCCCCCAACAAATGGAAAGAAAAATTCAGGGTATCTCAAACCTTTAATTGTTCCCAGTAATTTCAGGAAATCAGGGTAAACAAACCATCCCCCAAAGTCAGATGGTTCTGTGAAATCTTTCTAACTCATAAAAGCCAAATTTTCAAAGATGAAATGACTCAGAAGCACCTTCTAATGTGTTTCATTGTTTGTTTTTGTTTATCCTGAGTCAGTTTACCTCTACATTGGCAGCAGGGAGAAATCCTTTCAAAGGCTGAGTTTTCCTTTGATTCCCAGTGGCATTTTTGTCATAGGTCAGAGCAGAACCCATGCTAATCAGAAAATGGTAATTCCTCCATTGAAATGAATAAATAATTGAAGTAAAACTATAAAGTAGAAGTACTGATGGTTGCTAATCCATGCTTATTGGACTAGAAGAAATGTGATTCTTTGTTTTCATAACTGTTTCTGCTCTGTCATAGCATTTTGATCTTTGTAGCCGATCTTCCTTCCTTCCTTTCTCTCCCTTTCCTCCTTCCTTCCTTCCTTCCTTCCTTCCTTCCTTCCTTCCTTCCTTCCTTCCTTCCTTCCTTCCTTCCTTCCTTCCTTCCTTCGTTTCTTTCCTTCTTTCTGCTCTTTTCTTTTCTTTTGAAATATCTAAGAGGCTTTATTCATTCTCATCATGAAGCAACTTCTTTTTCTATTTTTAAATTTTAAAAAATTAATCTTGCAATTATAGTTGATGTACAATATCATATTAGTTTCAGGTATACAGCATAGTGATGAGACATTTATATACCGTATGAAGTGATCCCCCCAATGAATCTGGTATCCATCTGGCACCATACATAGTTATTACATGATCACGGACTATACTCTCTATTTTGTACTTTACATCCCCATGATTATTTTCATAGCTGGCAATTTGTACCTCTTAGTCCCTTTCACCTTCTTCTATCATCTTCCTAACACCTCTTCCATTTGGCGACCATCAGTTTGTTCTCTGTATCTATGAGTTTGTTTCTGTTTTGTTTAGGTGGCTCATAAAAGCCTTAATAATTGAGTGCCTCTCATGTGAGGTACAAGAGGAGACAGCAATGGTCTTTGACTTTATGGGGTCTTATGGTCACTTGGGATGTCAATCAAATGGCTGACTAAATTTCCTTTAAAGTAACTGTTAGTAAGGGAAAGTATCTTACAGTTCTCTCTTCTCTGAAAGTTCTGTGTTCAGAATCCCCAAAAAGACATGAGATCAGTTAGGTCAGTCCCCACTTTGTAAAGAAGCTATTGGGGAAGCTCTTGTGCTAGGACCCTTCAGAGGATACTGAGCCATTTATGGTGGCCATTCCTGGTTCAACCAGCTGTAACCAGGGTGGCCACAGCACTTAGTATGAAGATTTCTGTATGAAGGACTCTTTGGAAGACACTGTGGGTGGCCAACATCCAGGGACTTTTCAGCAGGGTCAGTTTAACTGGGAGATGCTTCATTTGATTTCTCAATTACAACATGATGAATAAATAGAAAGCCAATGCTTTATGGAAGTGTAGACTTTTAATAAGGAAAGAAACATCATAGGCTGTCCTATCCAATTGCCTCATTTTATGAATGAGAGCATTCGAGCCTAGAGATTAAGGTTTACTTGGTCATATCAGTAGTGAGTGGTTAACCTGGATGAGAACTCAGTTTCCAGTTCATTCTAATGTTCTTCCTGCTTTACTATATACTTGCTAAAGTACTTAAACTCCCTTTTATGGCATATGTGAATTTATGAATTAGATCAGAACCAATTACATGTAGCCAGTTTTTCTAGCCTATAAATCTGGGACAGAAAACTACCCCAAAATGCAGGGAGTTACAGAGTTAGTACATTACCATCCTTTAGAAATAAATTCGGATATTAATGTGGTTCTCAGACATAGGCTGATTTCCACAGTTTAGGGTATATGCAGATGGAAAAATTTAAATAAATATGGGTGTATTTTGTGTAATGAATAGCTCTATGAAAAACAGTAAAATTATTGCAGTATCGAAAATTCTTTTTTTCCCCAGCAAACATTTATTTTTAAGCTTTTGTTTAATTTCAGACTTACAGAAAATTTGCAAGAGTAGTACAAAGAATTTCCATATACGTTTAACCTAATTTCCCCCAATATTAACGTTTTACCAATTAATATTATCGAAAATTCTTGATCAATACAAGAATGGAATAATTCATGGAGTTCTATCTATATGTTAACCTATTCAGAGATTTAATAGAGTTGTAATGTAGACGAAACATTTTGGGTTAAGGTTTCCTGCTGCAGAGAGCATCTTAACTCACTCATTTAACTAAAGGCTTATTCTGTGTACAAGATTGTGCTGGTCACTGTGGAAATCATAGACAGGAAACTAGAGACAGAAGTTAGGGGACATATGGGCCAGTTATGGGGAGAGCAGAGGAGGTGATGTGATGTAAATTGTTGTTTGAGTACTTAGTGGTTTGGGGTACAGATTTATGTGAATTTGGGTCAAGATGGTACCTAGTTTTCTGAATACCCCAGTGAAGGCCTTTCATGCTCCCCCAACACTGTGGCTTTATTGGTATCCTCTTAGTGTCCATGATGATTTATAAAAGATGGGAGGCAAGTGGATGGGTAAGTGAAGCAACCACTTTGATGGAAGATAAAAATATTTCTGAAGAGGCTTTTCCTCAACCGTGTTGTTTCTTTAATGGGCGCTAATTTCAAATGCTGTCCATAGTTATATGAGAACATTGAGATGATCAGATTTCTCTCCCTAAATTTGCCAACCCGTGTCCCAGAGATCTAAGTTTATTTCCTTTTCTCTGGTCTCTGAGAATCTGTCACCCTTTTCCTGTTTAAAGACAGCCCATCCCTTCCAGCACCTTCTGAACTTTGTGCCTTCAGGAAATAACTTTGTCTTGTGTAGTTAACCTGCCCTTCTTTACTGGCTCCTTCATGTATTGCTTCCCAATTAAAATAAAACAAAACAAAAAATGTATGAATACTTACCTAATCCTTCTCTAGTTGATATCTCGTCTTCAAACTTCTCTAAATACTAGTAGCTTCCTCTTTATGCAGAGCCATAAAAAGCTGGGGCAGATGAAGGGTTAAGGTAGAAAGGGCAATATATAGCTGAGATATGAGGTCGAACCACTCAAATTTTGGTTGTTGAGTGACGGATCTGTAGAGGAAAGCAGGGTGAGGCTTCATTCTAAATGGTGGTCCTGACCAAAATTTATGGACTCCAGTTTCAAGGTAAGTCTAACTTATCTAAAGGTTGGGAAGACAGAACAGAGGCTGAGAGTCTCAAAGTTTAAAGGTTCCTCAGTAAGCTCTGTGGATATTCTGACCCAGTGTCTTCTTTGCTTTTCTCTCCACTGCGTCCCTCAATCCACTGTAATCCACAGTGGTTTTCCCCCTTGAGAACTTCTCCACTGGGACTGCTCTCATCCTGATCACTCATGCCCTGGTCGCCTAGTTCAATAGCCACTTCTTGTTCGTTCCTTCTCTCATCAGAAATTTGCTATTAACAAGGTCACATTTTCCCCTTTGGACATTTATTTCATACGTTTCCAAGAAATTCTCTCCTGGTTCTCCCTGAATACCTCTGACTGCTTCTTCTTTCACTGTCAGAGGCTCTTTTTCTCTCCTCACTTTTCTATATTAAATAATAGTCATGTAGAAGCTAGGTAGTAACTGTATGGGCATCTAATAACCACGCAGGAGGATAAGATGTTTCCTTTTCCATTCACTGTATAGATTGTATAGAATAATCAAATTCCTTCATAATAACATCCCTTGGGACAGCTACCTTAAGATTTATTTTGTTCAATTAAAGACATTTTTAGCCTTTGTATAAATGAGAGTGAAGATGACTAAAGGGAAGAATGTTTGTTTCCCACATCTGCAATATAAAATTGAAGTAATTATGGGTTTCTGAGGTTTGGCATAGGGTTTTGAAGAACCTAGTCATTGCCTGTTTAAAATATCACTGGAAATAAGGCTTCAGGACATCTTTTTCTCTGGTGCTTGTGGTTCTAGTTAGTGGCCATTTCAACAAATGTTCCCACCCTATCCCCACTTGAATATTTAGGGTGTAGTATTGGAAAGGAGTAAATATTGGGAGGAAACTTAGGAAGGTATTACAGTATTAGTTTTTATAAAATATAGAGAAAGCCTCTTCTGAGTGAGGCTTGTTTCTAGACATTGACTGATTCTCATGATATGGGATATGTTTTATGCTAATTAAATTGACATCTATTATCTGTCTGTCTACCTACCTACCTATCTACCTACCTACCTACCTACCTACCTGCCTACCTCTATATCTATCCATCCTTTGTAATTATCCTGGGACCCTAAGTAGACCATGTCACCCTGGGGAGTTGGGTTCAGGTAGACAAAACAATTGGGTGTTCCCTATGGTTCTGGCCATAGGCTTTTCTCTTTTCATACCACAGACTCTGGAACTATCACAAATATCCTCAGTTTCAAATACGGCCTCTTGGGCTGATAACATCAAAATCCATCTCTCTGACTCAGAGCCTTTTTCCATCCTTCAGATTCATATCCATTCCCTGCTTGCTGTATATTTTCACCTGGAGGCCTCACAGGCACCCCAAACTCCATATGGCCGAAAGAGAATTCATTAATACATATCCTAATGGGTATCTCTATCTCTGCCCGTCAGCACCCATGATGGAAATACAGAGGCTTCTCCATCTTTGTTACTCTTCACATATTCATCTCTGATTGTTTTTGCACCTCATTTGCCTCCTTACAAACTGCCCATAGTTCTTCCACTTGATCTTTTATTCCTTCCCATTGCTCGTGCTCATTCCTCTGTCTAGAGTGCAGATTCTCACCACATACCCTCAGCACATCTCACTCCCCCTTTACCTTTATAGCTCCTGAGCCTTTCAAATGCAGCCCAGATCTTCCCCCCTAGGAAGCCTGCCCTGGCAAGGTCTCATTTCCTCCCTTGCTCTGGTACCATTAAAGAGAAATCCCTTCAGAGCTCTATCCTCCCAATATTTACTTATACAACTTACATATGCTATTAGCTCCTTGGGGCAAAGTGTGGTGTAGTATTTCTTTTTGTATTCCTACATTTTTAAGGCAATTCTGTAGAGAAGACATTGATTATTTATGGTTATGAACTTAGCAAGTAATGAATGAGATCTGCCCCTCCCACCAATCATGTGAGATCCCCCATCATATGAATTCTTGAAACTCCCAGGAAATTTTTCTAGCGTGAGAAGAAACTATTTTTCGTAGAACAAATGTATTCCCTCTATAATACTTAATTTCATTTGTGGTTTAATTTGAACTACTTAAAATATTACTGAATAAAAGAAGATCTGTGCTGGAAGAAGAATGTTTAGTCATCTGTGAATCTTTTCATCCTTTTCTGAGACAATTTCTCTGCCCCATGACTGTAGCAGAGATCATATTCCAGTAAAGAACATGTGGGTACAATTCAGCATGGTGTGCGTGATGTGATGCTGGGCAATCCTCATTGGAAATCAGTCGATTTATGTTTCAGTTCCCTGATGAAGAGGCCAGTAGGAGGGTGGAAAAGAAAATGCTGGTTGATCATCAGTGGTAGAATCAATAAAAACCATTTGGAACATAGGAACTGTATGTAAATTATTGCAATGAGTGGTGTCCAAATTATTATCCTGCTTTTAATATCCATTAAGAGCTATGAGAAGATCATACCTTTTGATTCAGTGATTCTATTTTAAGAAGAAATCAGTTTAAATACCAAATATTAGAAATTAAGTAAATTATGGACTTTTCATATAGAATACTAGAGGCCCAGTGCACACGGGTAGGGTCACCAGGCCTGGCCAGCGGTCAGGGCCAGTCAGGGCCTTCCAGCTACTGGCTGACGCCTCCCTTCATTCTGTGCTGCCCCCTGGTGGTCAGCACACTTTATAGTGAGCAATCAAACTCCTGGTCTCCTGGTTGAACTCCCGAGGGGACACTTTGCATATTAGCCTTTTATATATATAGACTAGAGGCCAGGTACACAAAAATTTGTGCACTCGGCGGGGGGGAAGGGGGGGTGTCCCTCAGCCCGGCTTGTGCCCTCTCGCAGTCTGGGACCCCTCGGGGGAAGACCACCTGCTGGCTTAGGCCTGCTTCCCGGGGGATTGGGCCTAAGCTGGCAGTTAAACATCCCTCTGGCAGCCCTGGAGCCCTCGGGGGATGTCCACTTTGCCAGCGGGGAGCAGGCCTAAGCTGCAGTTGGATATTCTTAGCGCTGCTGAGGAGGTGGGAGAGGCTACCACCACCACCGCTGTACTGGCAGCCATCAGCCTGGCTTGTGGCTGAGCAGAGCTCCCCCTGTGGGAGCGCACTGACCACCAGGGGGCAGCTCCTACATTGAGCGTCTGCCCCCTGGTGATCAATGTGTGTCATAGTGACCAGTCATTCCCAGTCATTCTGCTGTTAGGGTCAATTTGCATATTACCCCTTTATTATATAGGATAGAGGCCTGGTGCATGGATGGGGGCAGGCTGGTTTGCCCTGAAGGGTGTCCCGGATCAGGGTGCGGGTCCCCGCTGGGGTGCTTGGCCAGCCTGGGTGAGGGGCTGATGGCTGTTTACAGGCTGGCCACAGCCCCTTCAGGGTAGGGGTCCCTGCTGGGGTCCCTAGCCAGCCTGGGTGAGGGGCTGATGGCTGTTTGCAGGCTGGCCAAGCCCCCCAGTGGGGACCCTCACCCCATGAGGGTGTGGCCATCCTGGGTGAAGGGCTGATGGCTGTTTGCAGGCTGGCCACGGCCCCCAGCCACCCAAGCTTCCAGTGGAGGCTGGCTGGAAGCAGGTATCTGGGATTTATTTGTCTTCTATAATTGAAACTTTGTTGCCTTGAGCGGAGATCACAGCCTGCCAGGGCAGGCGGGAAGCTTGGCTTCCTCCATTGCCAGGGCAACCAAGCCTCCTGCTTGCTCCAGCTCCATGGCTGCCGGCAGCCATCTTGCTGGGGTTAATTTGCATATAGTCACTCTGATTGGCTGGTGGACGTGGCTTGGGTGTAGAGGAGGTGCGGTCAATTTGCATGTTTCTCTTTTATTAGATTAGATAGCCATTATATTTACAAGGAGTTATAATGACACGAGAAAATGCATATGAAAAATTACTAAGCTAAATAAAGAATAGGTTATAAGGTTACATATATAATATAATCTCAATTATATAAAAATGCTGAGCAATTCTGGAAGGAAATACAAATAAAAGATTAATGGTGTTATCTCTAGGTAGTGAGATTATAGGCAATTATTATTTTTTGATTTTTCTTTCTATATTTGCCTTTTTCAATTGTTTTATGATAAGCTCATATAATAATTATAATAAGGCAAAAACACAATCATTTAATAACAAAAGTAAATTATATTTTGCCTAGAAGTGGAGATAATCAATGGAGTGAATAATTACTTGCTTTGTATCTGATAAAAGTTTTGTTGGAAGTTTATAAAATTTTAAAAAGCAGCCACTTCTGGAGGTGAAAATATCACCAGCATTCTAAAATAATAATAGAATTTGCAAGTTATCATAGTGAATCAGATTTTCAGTTACTCTTTACTACTTCCCTCTTGTTTTCTAGCTACTACCTCTGTGCCTGAATCCACTTTAAAATGGTCCCTCCCTGAATCATGGATAGGCGTTGAAGAGGGCTGGGGAGGACACAACGATACCATCCCAGGCCCTGGGGATGACGTCCTGATTTTACCAAGTGAGTAAAAACAATTCTTGAATTAATCACTGACAGACTGAACCAGGCCAGTCTAGTTGGGGATTATCTGCCATTTAAGTTTATTGTACTACACAGTAGAGAATGTGGAAATAAGTAGGCACTTATAAGTGAAATCTGGAAAAAATAGCTCAGCCATCCTTCATTAAAGGTAGAATAAGTAGTCACAATGCCAAGAGGACTTAAAATTATGGACTAACTAGATAATTTTTTTATGTGTTATAGAACAGATTTACACCTTATGTTTGAAAGGCAGAGTACATGGAAATAAACAATTTTTAAAATGGCTTTTAATCTTTTGGTTGTGTGAAGTTTTTACAGATAGGACTGAGAAAAAAATGATAAATAAGCCCTTCTGTTGCCATGATTTTCCAAAGATGCTAGAAAAGGAACAGGCTAATAAAAAAGAAAAACAAAATATGTATCATCTATCTATCCATCTGTCTATCTAGAACTCCCTCCCTGTGTACTAACAGATAGGAGAAAGATGATTCCTCAGATATACTGAAACACATATCACACTTAAAAAATTCATTTTTTCTATATAGGTAGTTTTTGAAACTCCCAGAAAGTCTCTCCAGCCTGAGAAGAAAATATTTTTAATAGAACAAATATATTTCCCCTAAAAGACCTAACTACATTTATGGTTTGAACTTAAGTAAATACTGCATAAAAGAAGATTGGTACTGGAAGGTGAACATCTGGTCATCTGTGAAGTAATAATGCTAATATTAAGCATTTGTTGACAACTAACGACATGGAATTATTCTCCATATATTAACTAATTTAATCCCCATAATAACTCTGTGATATGAGTGATATTATTAACCCTATTCTTACTGACAGAGAAACAGAGGCCAGGGCAGTTAAGAAATTGCTCAGGGTCACAGTTTGAGGTTCAGCAAAGTCAGAATTTTAACCCAGACTGTCTTACTCCGAGTCCATATTCTTAGCCAATCAAGTGCATTCTTTTTCTAAAAAGTCTAAGAGTATGGGTGGTAAGGGCCTGGGGAAGAGGGGACAGGAGTGGGCTGGAAGAGGTTTAATGGGGAGAAAGGAGGGACTTATGTAATACTTTCAACAATAAAGATTAAAAAAATAAAATATAAAGTCTAAGAGTAAACAAAAGAGAGTAGTTTTGTTGTTTGTTTTATTGATGACAAAAAATGAAGGCAGAAAAAAAATAGAGTAAAATACAATTAAAAAGAGAGAGAAAAACAACAACAAAATATACTATCTTCTGGGTAGTGGTGGTGTGCCTGTAATTGCATAGGGAGTTGGGCTGGAGGGAGTGGGCTGATCAATAGGAACTTGAATTATCATTATTATTATCCAACTCCCCTATCTTCCACTTCTCTCCATGGAGGATGTAACTTTTTGAGTAAACAAGCTCATGAGTCATTCCTATACGAAAAGAAAAAATCTGTTCTGTCTCAGCCATCTCTTTGATGAATCTGGCCAGCGGATTGGCCCTGGGCTATGGTTTTTCCCACTGAGCAAGCTGTTTCTCCCACCCTGTGCGGAAGCAAGAGAAGCTTTTGAAGGTTGCCAAGCTTTTAATATCCTTTGGGACCTTTATGCTGAGTGAGGAGCAATCTTAGCTATCTTGCTTGGCATTGCAGTTGACTGTATCCATGTGTGTCCTGGCCGCCTAGAACCTCTGGCATTCTCCAGCATCCTCATTCTTTTGTTCATGGTCAGCTAATGAGATGGACCTGAATTCTCCGTAAGATTGCTTTTAAATAGCACAAATCAGTGCTTTGGAAAAGGTGGGTGGCGGCATAGTCATTGGATGCATAGAGTATCTTTTGTCCTTTAGTATTATTGTGAGAACCAGAGGAGTTAAGACTTTTAAAACATGTAGTTATTGTTTATTATTTGTACTTTTCAAATGTAAAGATAAGCAAATGAAAACTGATACGTAATACATAATAACGGAAGTCCTTACTCTGTTCCTGTTGCCCCTTTCTTCTAAAAAGCCCTCTTTGAACTCCAGCAAATCATCTTTTAGTGGCCAGCATTTTAATTCATTGTTCCGTTCAGTTTTGAGCCTTACATAGGAGCTGTTCTGGCTAATTTTTCTCTGCTTATTTTTGGCAAACCTTGGCCTTCTGACCTCTGATGGAACTTTGGGTTTAATTTACCTCCTCTTTCTATTTGTGGTGTGTATTCTTAACCTTTTCCTGGCTCTCCTGTTTCTTTCATTCCTAGTCTTCTTTGAATCAAGTACAATTTATTCACCCAAGTCTGGCACAAAATAGGCAGTCAATAAGTATTGCTTGAATAAAGTGCACACGTCAATGTTGTCATCCATAATTTAATACCAGAAATAAATCTTTGAGTTTGACATAGTATACCTATACAGTTTTACAGGTCTGTGGAAAATAGTGTCTTCTCCTTTGAACAGATTCCTAATAACTAAGATTTTTACCGTGACGATAAACTGCCACTATAACTCGAGTGCTTGATGTGTGCCACACACTGTGCTGTGTGATCCGCATATATTTCCTCAATTAAGTCTCACAACTACTTTATTCGAGGATGCTGTTTTTACCCTCCTTTGATAGATGAGAAATCTGGGACACAGAGAGATTAAGTAACTTGTGCAAGTTTCATCCAGCTATTCAGTAAAGAGGCTGGGGCAGGAAATCAGACACTTTGATTCCAATGCCCTATCTCTTTATCATATCATTTTTAAAAACTCCACATCCCCGCTTGCTATGCTTTAGTCACATCAGACTACGTTTTTTACTGAATTCATATTTCTCTGCTGGCTGCTCACATTGTTCCCTTCATGCGGAATTAAACCGAAGAGAACTTTATTATTTACTCTACTCGAGGAATTCAATCTTACCACATCCCCGGTAGGTGCACAATCCATAAGAAAACTGGAGAAACTTCCGAAAGAAGCATCTGGTAGTAAATGTAGCTGTAATTCAAGGTCACACTCCTTTCCAATTCAGTTTAACCAACATTCACTGAGCACTCACGGTGTTCAAGGCACTGGACCAGGTGCTCTTGATCTGAGGCTCCAAAGGCAAATCAGATACAGCCATGACCTCAAAGCAGCGAGTGACCTCAGCTGGGTTAATAAGACACATGATACATAACAATATAGCAAATAGCTGCAATCAAAGCAGACGTGTTTAGAACCATAGTCGTGGTGGAAGAGAGGCATTTGAAGTGGCCCTTGGAAGATGGGATAACGGTCTGAGGGACAGTCTGAGACACTAGGGCAGCGGTTCTCAACCTTCTGGCCCTTTAAATACAGTTCCTCATGTTGTGACCCAACCATAAAATTATTTTCGTTGCTACTTCATCACTGTAATGTTGCTACTGTTATGAATCGTAATGTAAATATCTGATATGCAGGATGGTCTTAGGCGACCCCTGTGAAAGGGTCATTCGACCGCCAAAGGGGTCACGACCCATAGGTTGAGAACCACTGCACCAGGTCATATTGGGGAGGTAGCGAGGCTTCAGGAGACAAGGAGGGCTGTCCACGAGGATAAACCTGGGTCTACATTTGGATTCTGACATTTACCAACGGTGTGATATTGGATAAATTTTAAACCTTTCTGACCTTCATCTATAACATGAGGGCCATAATTAACACATCATAACGTTGAGCAGGGTATTGGCAATAATGGAATTATGGATGAAAGCTGTGATTTTTAATGTATCAGGGGCTCCTTTCCTTCATTTTTTCCATCTGGCTGCCCCTCTTGGCCTCTGCTATTAGCGACACTTCGTATTTGCTTTCCAATGGCTTATTATTTAATTTTCACAATATCTTTGGGAGCTAAATAGGTAATAACTATTATTACAGTAAAAACCCATTTTTACATAATATGATTTTAATGGAACTGCTGATTTTATAAAATGAAAGTGACTGGTAAAGAAGATTTAAGTGATACTTTTGAACCCCTAATATAATTTTATGGTGTTTTGTGTATTTTAATTCATTAATAAAGAAAATGGGTAGAACATTCCCCATCATTATTCAAATAGAATAGCATAATTTTTTTCAATAAAATTCTTAGGGTGAATTGCCTGTTTCCACTCTCTGGGAAATCTATTTTATGGAATGATCTCAGACCTATCCTATTTCATAAAAATAGGACTTTACTGTACTAATAAAAGATATCACTGTCTTAAGTATGGCACCATTTTCCTTTGAAGCATTCTGTCTTTATAGACATTGGATTTAAAAAATATAATCGGCCAGAGAGATAATGGGGGGAAAAGGGGACATATGTAATACTTTAAACAATAAAGAATTTATATATGTATATAACATCAATGATAGAAACATCAATGATGAGAGAGAATCATTGATTGGATGCCTCCTACACGCCCCTCACTGGGGATCGAGCTCGCAACCCGAGCATGTGCATTGACCGGGAATTGAACTGTGACCTCCTGGTTCATGGGTTGACACTCAACCACTGGACCACACCAGCCAGGCAGACACTGGATTTTGAAAGAGCTGTAAATTCTTCTCAGTGGTATTATATGGAGTAAGCTGAGGTAACCAGGAAGAATTTGCTCCCGTATTTTAGTTTATGATAACAGCTTCATACAAACAAGTGTGTCTGATTGTCTTTCCCTCCTAAATATTGGAAGGATTGGTCTAAATGCATCCTAGTCATCTTACAAAACCAAAACAAAATTTGCAAATTTGAAAGCCTCCAACCTTCACAAGAATAGCTAGCTGGTCAATGGGTAAAATGATCCTGCTAGCGTATACTTTCAGTTTTATCCTGAGCTGATCTAACAGGATCTGCGTAAGATCCCTCCCTACCCCCATGCTCTCTCTCAGAGAGTTGCAGCCACAACAGAATGACACCCTTTTCACACAGGGCAGACTTAATGAAAGGAAAATGTGTTATAATTTCAAATGATCGGATTCTATTTTGAAGGGTACAGATATGATATCATATAGCCTCCAGCATATATGTGTGTATGTGTGTTAGAATTCC